TTAGTACACGAATGCGGCACGAGCTGGCGCGCATTCATGCAGTACGTCATTGTGGTACGCAAGTCAAATTACGCTATGAACGCTGCCGCATCTTGTACCTCACCTAAATCAAATAAAGATCAAATGCACCCATATTCTTAATAGACTTAGTAAAATGAATCTCCAAGGTAGCTTTCTTAAGCGTTTATATAAAAGGAGCTATTGAGAGAAAGATCTTGTATGCATGTTTCACATGGTGGAATGGAACGGTCGAAAGCGTAACAAAATTTTACAAATTTAAAAAATCGCTTTATTGGGGATTACTAAGTGTTTTAGAACTATTTTCACAGTAGCTCTTCAGATTTTGGCTGGATGTCCTCCGATCGATTTTAGCGGAAAAATAATATGCTATCTTTAAATTAAAAGCTGGTAATAAAACTGTCGATTATTTCAATGAGATCTTCCAGCTAGAGATTTTAACTTTGATAAATGTTGAGACATTCACCCAGCTTTATTGAAACGATTGAATTGGCATAAAGGCCTCCCCAATATCACAGGCTACACGGTTTTTACAGATATATCTAAATTAAATGGTCATGTGGGGGCAGACTTTTGTGTGTTCTCAGATGAGAAACTAAGCTTACAAAGGAAATATAGACTTTCTGACAATACCTCTGTCTATCAGGCAGAGTTAGTGGCCCTGCGAGAGGCCTTATATTGACTTATTTCTAATTCTGTACTAGATCGTATAGAAATCTATAGTGACTGCGAAAGCTCAATTGTTTCAATTATGAATGTTTGTCCAAGTAGCGATCTAATTAAACAGATAAAAGAGATATGCTCATTTTTCTTAGCGCTTTCAGAGATATTAAACATATTAAACGAAGAGTCATATTGGTAGATTGGCAAACGCTGCCACTGAAAATCAAATTATTGATTTTTAAGTAAAACCTTCCTTTGACAGTTTGAAATCCTTGTTGAAAAAAAGTTTGTCTCTATGGCAAGCAAATTGGGACGACCCAGATTCTAAAGGAAGATTCACATATAATTTAATCTTAACTGCAAGTGAGAGAAGATGCCTAAGTGGGAAGTATCTAAACCAATCTTTAACTAATCATGGACACTTTCCCTTTTATTCTAATAGGTTTTCGATTAAAAATTGTGCCTGTCCATGTGGCATAAGTAATGTCGATATTGAGCACCTGTTGTTTAGATGCTCTTCCATGAAAAATATTGTTCTAAAATTTATTCCAGATTTTGCTAAATTTAATACTCTAAAGGATCTAAGTAAAAATACAGTGACTAAATTGAAGTTATCAAATTTCATAAAATATATATCTGCAAATGAAATGAATTTATATTTGATTGTATTTAAAATTTCCCTGTCTGTTTTAAGAAAAACTAAGATGTTTATGATATTCTGTTATTTTATTTCTTTGTATATCTAAGTAACACATTTTTATACATGTAAGTAACATATGTTATACTTTACAAAGTATGTAATAATGTGCTTTTGTTGGTGTAGCTGGTAAATCTCACCAGCTCCTAGACTTTAAGTTCAAATTTTAGTTGTTTATTCTATTTGAAGTTCTAAGTTATTTCCAGTAGTATTCTAAGTTATTTCCGGTAGTATGGTGGTAGTTCTAATGCTTAATGGGCCTGATTTAGGCCTTGTTTTAGATCTCAATGTTTCCTTAATTAAATATCTCCACTAAACCCTGTTAAGCCTCTAATGGCGGTACAGGAAGTTCGACCAGTCATATTATTTCTTTGAAAACTATCTGTTCGAGCTGTCGGTCTCCTAAAACCCAATTATCACAAAAAAGAAAAAAAGTATGAAATGATTTTAATTAGTCCATCTTATAATAATTTTATAAAATATTTAATGTTTCTAATTAGACATTTTGGGATTTAAATATTTAAATGAATCAAACTAAAAAGTAAGAAAAATTTTAAGACTTAAGTTTGCTACTTATTCAGTCACTTGGTCTTCTTCACAGTAAGAGAAGGATTAAATTTGAAAGTTAAATATCTTACGCTCTACTGAATGGCAACAGATTGATTCGTGGAGATAAGTACTCTATTCGAGGCAATGGCTACACATTGCTTTCGAATAGCCGATTATATAGCTCAAAATTGAAAGATGAATACCTTACATTTTGCCGAAAGGCAACAGTCTAGAAGCTGGAGATCATTTTTTTCCCGAATAGTGTTGCCAACTCTGGCTTTCAAACTTCTGAGATTGTTAAATAAAAATTTATTTAATTTGTACAAAATACGAGTTAAATAAAAAAATCTGAAAGCTTTCAGATTTTATTTTACGCCCAAAGAAGTGTTTTTTTTTTTTTTTTTTTTTTTTTTTTTTTTTTTTTCATTTACACATTCGTCCACATTTCGGCTTGCTCTTCTTTCAGCTAAAAATATTCAATAACAGCATATCTTAAGAATTTCCAATAGACTAGACTCGCAGGCTGGAGATAAAACTATTTTATTCTGCACAGTGTGTTGTCACTGCTCGCATCCAAATCCTTGAGTTTTTAAATCAAAAATCCGCTAAGTTTAAAAAATATGTAAATAATAAAAGTAATTCGAAATTCAAGATTTGAACTTCCAGGTGCCTGTATTCGGGTGGAGGATTAAGCTATTTAAAATTTGATAGCTCATGGTATCTTTGTTTTTCGCAATGCGAGAAACACACATTCGTGTAGGTTCTTCATTATTTATTTTTTTTAAATCAACATACAGGTCGATAATATTTGGTGGCATAAATGTGAAATGTGATAGAGCCTTTTATAGTGATTCGACGCAAAATGCCATTTCGAGACTAATAGCTCGTCTGGGCTTCCCCTTTGGTCTAACAAATTCAAAATTTTACAAGAGTGAAAATGATGATGAGAAAGCATGTTCTCACGCAATAGCAATGAATTTATTGATACTGTCGTCCATTAGTATCACGTGAGCACAATCTGTCTTTAACAAGATGTTATGTAATCATGTAATTTTTCTTTAGTGAGTTTATGCCACGAGTTAATGTAACAGAACGGAAATGTTTCTAAATTATACAAAGAAGAAGCAATAAAACCTGATTTTCAATTAAAATGAATTAGCTTCAAAATGAATTTAAAATAAATATGTCCTATATTTTTGAGCAAAACGCATTAAATTTTTATCAACGCAAACCAGCCGTCACATGCTTAAAATACAAAAAGCATATAGTGCAATTCTGACTTGAGATTATAATGCAAAACAAAAACTGCGATGTGATACAGTAATATAACTTACATATATACAGTGATATAATAACTGTAAATGCTACAAAACATCTCAATTAAACGAAAAACCTAACTAGCAAAAATGTTAAAAACAAGAACATAAGAATCATGAAGTCAATATGGAAAGAAATTTTAAATCTGTAAAATATTAAAAATATTCCAATTAAAACTGCCAAAGTAAAAATAATAACAATAAATTATAAAGTGAAAAAATATGCTTTTTCTAACATTCTCTGGAAAAATAATAATAAATAACATATAACGAACGCGTGTTGAGGTAATTACAGAAAAGAGACCTGAAATTTGTTAATTTTAAAATTAACAGTATGTAACGTGTAGAGTGATAAATATTTGAGAACAGAGATTAAAGAAGAAAAAGAGTTTAGAGAATCCTTGTGGGTGCTCCAAATTCTTGAAATGTTCTCTTTTGCGCAGATGGAAGGTACTGTATAAAACCATTAATTCCACACGTTAACTGAAGAGTAATCCAGACTCGTGATGGTTTCAGAATTTGTTTAGAAATCACTCAGAAGAGATTCCTACTAAATTGCAGTCTACTGAACTAACATGTCTTCAAGTGTAGGAAATACTATGTGTGCTTCCTTTCTGATGAATTGTATATCTATTAATAATTGTTTTCTGATTTGTAATAATTGTTTAATGAGTTTCTCCTGTTTTAGCAGGATATTGCTCAAACATTGCATTCTAAATGGTGCAAATTTTAGCTTGTTAAATATTCATATCATTTTGGAATTTTGTGAAGGCCACGCTTGCCGCAAGGTCGCGGCGTTATTGAACACGCCTGGGGTGCGACGCAAAGCTTTGTCGGAGACTGAAATACTTTGACTCCAAATACAGTAACATTAGGGAACGTTCAAGAAAGTGTGGTGTTGCCAACAGAAGGTTCTGGCATACTCGCAAAATGAAAGTTTCAGTAGTTATGCTCCTATATGATCTCTAATAAATATTAAACTAATGTAAAAGATCTTTTGCTTTTTCAGTATATGTTGTTGAGTATTAATTTAAGAGTTGCAAATTTACAAACACTCTTTATTCAAAATATATTAGCTAAATTATTGCGATATTTAGATCTTTCAATGATGCTAATGTGCAATCCTTTTCATTAAAATTAATTGCTAAGCTTCACCCACAGTATATATTATTAATATAATAAAATTATATCATAGTCGGCTATGTCGAAAATCTTAAAAGTTTTGATCAATTTGGTGACGTTTCATTTGATTTGGTAGCAAGAACGTATGACAACGCTCTGAAATAGGGTAACAAAGGCCTTTTTAAGACTACGATAAAGATAATAATCATTTGGTATAAGTAGAATTAACACTACATTAAATTTCCGTACTTTATATAAGCATTTCGATTAGTTTACCTCAAAAGTAAACTATTTAATCAAAACCGCTTTGATTATAGTAAATAAAGATATTCGATCACGAGTTACTTTCCAAGATGTTCATTGACAAAATTACCTTATCGAAATAGACACAAAGTAAATTTTCCAAAAGAATTTAATCACAGAGCAAAAAGATCTTTAAAAAATGCGAAGTATTTTATTTTACTTACAAAGTTTGAAATTAATATTTAAAAATCAGGCATTCTATGCTTCTTATGGAATATATACATACTATATAGGATAGTTTATGCATATTTTAATATATTTACGTACATTCATATGTATGAAGCAATATTTTCATAGCTTGAAGCACTGAAGCAGTAATAATAAAATCTCACCTCGGCAATACAGACAATAATTAAAGCATCTTCTCTTTCCTTTTCATCCATATTTTCTATAAGATTCTCGAGAGTAGGAATCAAGTAACTCTCAATAGGTCTCTTCACAGTAGGAATACCCATTACCATAGTCACTAAAAATAAGAATAAATTCATAAGTTGCCTCGAAATACCATTTTGTTAGATAGGCAACATTTATGCAATGCAGTAAATAAATTAGCCAATTTTTTACACGTGGAATCCGAAAATGTGCTGGCTGAATCTGTTGCTAGAAAAATATATGCACTCTGCTTCTACGTAACAGATAGTTTACCAGAAAAAAATTATAAACCCACGAGGAGTTTCTGCTTTCTAAGAGAGGGCCCAGTCTTGGAAAATGTTTTCAGAGAAATCGGGAAAGTATTCACATGGAAAAAACTACAAAATCTTGTCTGCAACCACACCATTCACCATTATATAAAGCTTTAAAGTACAGCCAGCTGATCACTCGACACTGCTGGTAATGCACATGGAAGACAGAGGACTAATTTTAGAGTGAAATCCAATTGTGATAACTTGTTTTCAAACAAATAGTATAAACATATTTAATTCGATATTGTTAAGTTGCTCTATTACGTAAAAGTATTTTCTGAGAAAAATTTATGCCACTAACGTTGGCCTTTATTTTAATATAGACATTTGCTTATACATTTCGAAAATTTTAATTTACAAGATGATATAAAATTTGCATCTCAACACCAAAGGAGCAGCTATTATTTTCTGCCTTCGTATACGTGAATTGTACACATTATGATTATGCTTACGAAAAATGTTCGTAAATAATAAATATAATATGCAGAAATTTTAAATTACAACGGAACACTGCTTAATACAAGTTCCAATTAGAAGAAATAGTAATATACACACACACGTAATGTATACATATATACATATTTGTAAAATTCAGTGTCAGTAAATCTGAAAAACAACGATCTCTTACTTTATTACTTTATTCTTATTATTACTTACTTTCATTACTCTTTAAATTTAAACTTTGAATCAACTCACTCTTTCCTGTCTCATTAATTTAAACACAAATTTTACAATATAAACAACAGATTCAAATGTGTTATAAGCAAACCTATTGAACAGTAAACTAATTGTTTATGTTAATAAGTTCAAGCGTTTTCTCCAACAGTGGATTATATCAATTAAATTATTATTTCGTACTGGAAATATTAAAAATAGAAATACTTTTTCATATATTAATTTAGTTGGTTATATGTCTACAATTATATGTCTACAATCCCTCCAAATTACATGTGCTAGCGAATTTAAATTGAAAGCTTTGAGAGAGAAATACCTCAGTTTTCCAATGCCATAGGAATACTACTACTCTCTCAAGTTATATATCCTACTGTGTAACTTAAAATTGCATCTATTGGTGCTTTGTTTCTTAAGATATCGTGAATAATTACAGTGTTATGTCAAGCAGGAAAACATTAATTTGGGTATATTGATAATTAAATTCTATTTCATTTTATCATCTAAAAGTACTGGAAAGTTCTTCTGAAACTGGTAAATTTAGCAAGACTAAGAAAGGTAAACTTCCTTTTCATAAAGCTTAGTTATTGTTTAAAATTACTGATATACCTACAGTTATAAAGTAAACAAAATATTGTTATGCTTGCTCAGTTTATTTTCTTTTCTAACTTTATGCCTCAAAAATCTCTCGCTAAATACTGCCAGGATATATGTAAACCAGTAAATGTCTAAAGATAAATACTTGAAATAGTCCATTTATAGTAATCAAAAATCTAGACAAAACGAAAATCGCTATTATATACTTTCACATTAAATGATGCATTGTAATATTATATTTTCATACAACGCGAACATTAACATATTTCATTTTCGATATCAGCGGTCTAAAATTCAAACTGCATACGGGCCTAAGGCACGATCTAAAAATAACTCACAGAACTTTTGTTTTCAATTCTGTCATTTTTTTTAACATATTGAAAATGTTTTAACTAACAAAATAAAAAACTCTTTAAATTTTAAATGTTTCTTACAATGTTTATCAGAACGTACGCTAACAATAATAATAATATCGCAAAGAAAAAAATTCAAATTTATACCTATTTTCTATTTAAAATCTAAAGTTTGTCACCAGTAAAACAGTTTTGTTGGCTACAGTTTATAATTGCAACGTATGGACATTTAAATATTACATTTTCAAATTGTTATTTATTTCAAGTAATTCTAACATGCTTAATGAATTATTGAATAACTTGATTAATTTAAATGTAAAATTAAAAAATATGAAAACATTCTACATTTTCAGAGAAATTTTTCCAAGTAAGACAAATGTCGAGAATATATAAATGACAATTTAGTCTGTTACTTTTTCGATTATTTTTCACAATTTTCTTCAGCGTATAAAAAATACTTGTTTGCATGTAAATAAGTATAAATTTTTTTATTTCTTGCTACAGCTCTACATTTGACGGCGTTTCGATTCTGATCAAATTTATAGCCTTGAGAAAAATGGCAAGAAATTATCTTCATCACGTGTTGTAGAAGTCCACCAGTCAGTCGAGTTCTTATAAATTTTCAGATGTGAATAAAAGCTGTTCCCATGAAAATGCATTCCCAAAAAAGTGACTATTCTGACCCAAAAATTCGTAATTGAGCTTATTTACTTTTAGACGAGCAAGAACAAAATTTAATAATATTTATGTCTTAAAAATCTCTGAATAAGATTTACATCGCAGTCTAAATTGATTAGCTGCATTTATAGATTTTATGATGCGGTATTCATGTTCGTTTTTAATGGTAATGTAAACAATGTAAACTCGGACTTAACTAATTTTGAAATCTTTGAAATTTGCAGTAAATGCTGTATAATTCAAATATTTGCGTGAACCGGCAAAAAATTGCTTCGGATGACTCATGTGGACCGCTCGTTTCAGACCACTGTTCTATGGTATCGACGTTCATTTAATTCAGTATCTCTTAGATGTTCTAAATATAGAAACATTTTACCTCCAGTACGAGAAGCGGCGATCTTAAGAGCTGGTTGAAGGCCATCGAAGTTGTTCAACAGATGAGGCAAATAGTGATGTAAAGACGGCAACTGCAAGTCCAGCGTTTCGTCGAATTCCTTGTCTTTTCTCACAGGTACCGCACCAGGTCCGACGCTGCTGTATAACACTACATGCTGTTGTTGCCAAAGTGTTCCTCGGCCTAGATATACGCTAGGATTTTGCCTTGATGTGCTGATCTTGTTGCGGAGGTTGGACGACTGAAGCACGTGATCGAAACTCTGGCGCAAGGATGTGATGTCTCGAAGCCGTTCCTGGCTGAGCATCTTGGCGTGGCGCAGGCGTTCTTTCAACTGAGCTATCTGCTGCTGGAGGGATATGTTATCTGCAACATTGGCTGTAAAATCAAAGCGTTATGTATAAGCGTTATCTATCTATCAGGATATACTATTTATAAAAAGTACATTTATTTTCAATCACTGTAAGAAGAGCCTTTTTGGTTTAGCACTTATACCTTCGTATTTAAAGCCAGATAATTTATATCAATAATATACTTCATTATGCTTCTGAAGTGTATTAGTTCCTGAACCTACAAACGTATTTAGCATTTTGCCGTGAATAACAAAACTGTAAAACTCCGAATATCCAAAATAATTAAAGCGACAACCTTTCAATGTACATTTGAAAAATACAGATATTACCCTTGTTTTCGTACACAAAGTACTTTTTTTCTGTAATGTAAGTGAACGTTATTTTTTATTTTATTTTAAAAGTAATATTTTAATTTAAGAAAGGATCACAGTCCGTTCTTTTCAATAAAATTATAAGATGAGATTATATAATGAGATTATTTTGTATTGCCTAAAACACAGTCTTTTATCTCAGCCAGAGTAAATTACCTTCAACTTAATATATCACATATAAATTTTACTACCCTAAGCTTTGAAAAAGAAAATGCCTTCTTTTTATTTTTAAATTCGCAAAAACGAAACGCTGACATATGAAATATAATTTATTGTCGACATAAAATTATAGCATTAAGAATATTGCACATATTATAAAACGTTTGCATTTCCGTTTTGTAATAAGTTGGTGATTTTGATAAAAAAATACAAAAACTGTTCACCAGATTCTTCATTCAATTCAACAGTTTCTTAAATGCATATGCTGGATACTCTTATCTAATTATATTACAATATATTACAATGTAATGACAATGCATTAGTATTAGAATCAACAAAACAATCGAAAATCACGTAAATTCTAAAAGACGAGATAAATGTTATTTATTTCACATAAAAAGAAAAACGTCGGTTCAAAATTTTATTCATTTGGAGTCTTAGAATGTGATATCTAGTTTTATCAGCTTTTAAGCACTAGGATTTAATCTTGTGTTCGGTTCTTAGTGAATGTACCAAAACTCGAATGTGATCCAAATTCTCTTATAAAGTCATTCTAGATGTTTTCCTTTTAGGGTAGTTAGCCATCGCATGCTTTAACGTAATGTATTCACTAATCTTCACGCGCAGTCTCGTTCTGTTTATCTAAACCTATATTTTTCTAAAACTGGAAATACACCTTGCAGGTAACCTGGTTTCAAAATCATATTTTTACTTAAAATGAAAATAACTGTGATTTAATCCACGTATGAAAGAGAAACAATGTTTTGCTTTGTCTGCTCATTAAAACTGAATAAAAAGTGAAATAAAGCCTTTTAAGAGACATAATACTACATATAAAAATTCTTTCTTATCCAACTAGATTTAAATAGTAGCAAAGCTAAGAACATCAAAGGAGGTTTTGTAAACCTGAGTTACTTTACTCGTCTAAATAAATTTTCAAAAATGTATTATTCCTATAAGGACAGTGGCGGTGTATAGAATAATATGCATAATAGGTTTTGTGTATATTTTTATAAGCAGTTTGAGGAAATAAAAAATTTTATTTAATATAGCAGCCACCAAAGCACTTAAAGTTAATGACTATGGCTCTCCGATACTTGCACGGGAAAAAAAAGAGTTTCGTAAGGTAAATTTTGACCTATTTATTCATTTTATGATTTCATAATTGGTAATTTCCATTTGTTTAAGTGGCTTTTATTTCATTTCACATTAAATTTATTGTGTATGCTACCCAAATTTCCTCCCATAAATAGAGGAAAACGGATGTAAATAATTTTATAGCCTTAAAAAATTAAAGAGTTTGCTTTTACAATCGTAAACATAATAAAGTAATTTGCAATCCTTATATCAAAAGGCAAAATACTGGATATCTGCTCATATCATAAATGTACTACATCTGAAATGTAGTAGCTCCATGGCGGCAGTGGAGTTTCATAAAATGCTAATTTCATAAAATGCCAAAAGATATTTTAGATTACACCATTTGTCATATACCACATATAAGAATTCCAAATGTATTTAAATTTCTGACCATTTTTCACTCAGATTATTAATTTTTGTACACGCGGGGTAGATTAAATTAATCATGTTTTCTAGTATTGTATGATTTAATTCTTCTATTGGATGTGCAAAATAATTCATGGAGCTTCTTCATTTCAAAACGTGCGCAGTGTGTTCTAGTTTTTATAAATAATCTCTATAACTATTTGCATATTTATATACTTGGAATATCCTTCTCGAGAAAGGTACAATGGCTTTGAATCATTAATGTAAATAATACACTTTTTAATTTTTTCTGCGATTTCAAAACGGTGTTTCAGTTGTTCTTTTGTAATTCCTTAAAATATTCTTTTCATTATTTTCTGTACACATTTTAAGACATATTATAGCATATCCCCTTAAAATACAGCATATTTTTCACTTTATCTCAAGAGCAACTACTTCGTATAAAAATGACAACGAGTCACTGGACACTGGTAGTTCGGCCTGAGGTTCGGATTTCGCTAACGGGCTGGCTGCTTGAATGTTTTCATTGTTTTCCCATGTGTAACGAGTATATAAGCCACTGCCCCTTAGATAGTCCGCCCCAAAGGCATTCCTCCCCTTAAACAGATAGTCCTCGAGGTTTTGCCGTGGTCACATAAACAAAACCAAAACGAAACGACGGCGCTGTCTTATATGATTCGTATTGGAGGATAGCATGGTGGACGCCGTTTTCCAAGGTTATGTCTTATACATTGTCCACAGTTGTGACTCCAATTTACTTTTCCTATAAATGTTTTAACTTTATATATATATATATATATATATATATATATAGCACAGGGCTAACGAGAGCAATTGGGCTAACACCTTTTGGCCTAAAAATGTTTAAAAACAGCATATCTTTAGAATTCTCGATAGGCAGTCTCCCCGCTCTAGACAAAAATATTTTATTTGGTACAGTATGTTGCCGCTTCGCGCTTTGAACTCATTGAGTTTCTTAATTGAAAACTCGTTTAGAAAATATGAAACAGATAATAAAACAAATTCGTAATTTAAGATTTGGGCTTCCAGGTGCCCATATTCGGGTGGAGAACAACGTTATTTAAAATTTTATGGCTCTAGGTATTGTTATTTTTTTGCAGTGAAAGAAACATACACATATCCATGCAGATTCTTCATTATTTAATTTCTTTAAATATATTACAGGGCGATAACATTTGGAGGAAAGAATTTGTAAAATAATACAGCCGTTTATAGTGATTCGACGCAAAATGGCGTTTCGAGACTAATAGCCTTTCTGGGTTAAAAAAGTAAAAGAAAGAAAGGAAAATCTGATGCTTTCAAATTTTATTTTACGCCCAAAAGGACTTTTTTAACGTTTTGTTTGTTACCTTTATTTATTAAATACCAGGCTTGCGCGCTGGAAATATAAATGATTATTTTTTCATGCAATGCTGTCATTGCTCTCTTCGAAATGGTTGAGTTGAACCATTGAATGGTTTGTTAATCAAAAAGTCTTTTATGTAACGTTTGTAACCTTTTACAAATTTTGAAATAGATAATAAAAAATTTGAAATTCAAAATTCGGGCTTTCAATTGTCCATGTTCGATTGGAGAACTACGTAATTCAAAATTTGATGGCTCTTGGTACCTTTGGTATTTTTCACAATTGGGGAAACATTCATGTATTCATGTAGATTCATCTTTATTTAGTTTCTTTAAATATAATAGATGCGATAATATTTGGTGGAAACAGTTTGAGTAGTGAACTAAGGCTTGAAAGTGAAAAGATGCCAAATGCCCTTTTCAGACAAATAGCCCTTTGGGTTTAACGTCCCTTTGGACTAAAACATTGTTTCTACTATATTTTTAACATTGTGCTTCATTTTTAACCTTTAGATATATTACATATTTGCTCGTTCTAGAATAAGCATCATAAAACGGACTAACACTGTGAATTTGAAAACGTCAGAAATGAATTTAAAAATTAAAACAAAAGAAAAAATCTGATGTGTACACCATATGACTTTCTTGTACGTTGTATTAAATTATACGCAATTTTTCCTGCATTTCATTTGAACTCATTTCCTCGAATTTTATTAGTTATATATTTTTGTGGATATGTATATATTTATATACTACTGATGCGATCGATTGCATCCAAAACTGGAAGTACACATCTGCATGTTATAGCAGTCATATATACAAAATTACAACGCTCTGAGACTATTCGTTTCTGAGTTATACTAGATACATGCATACATACGCACAGACGTCACGAAAAAAAGTGCTTTGTGAATCCATTTTAAATCCTGTTTGGAACCCGTTTTTGGAAAAACAGTACTTTTCTGTTTCTGTTATTTTACAATGACAGTACATAGACTGCAAACACTTAATTTCTTTCTAAAAAAAGTTGTTTAAAGTTGGTTGATCCAATTGTCAACTTCCTATATATTTTGAAAGAAACATAGTGTTGCGTTCTGCGGGTTCGTGGATTATATGTGATAGATACAACACTTAATGAAGAAATAAAACACAATTTATTCTTTAGTATTACACAGGAGAGTTCTTAAAAAGATACGTTTACAGCGATCGAAAAACTACAATAAACACGCTGAAACAATCAGCAGCACAGCCTTCAATCTGTCAGGCTATAACGGTGAAGACAGCTTGCCGACAAAGCAGTAAAGTACATCTCTCGACTCGTTCCGGTCGCTGTTGGAGCTCAAGACACTGAACGTATTTGCGGTATTCTCTACGATACAACTCAAGATACACTCGGCGAGACACTGCTACTGCGGGTTTATATAGCTTTTGTCCTGCCTTCGAGACTTCGAGAATTAAACCGGTAAGTATTCGTTCTAGAATGTTTTCCGTGGCATATCACCAATTTTGTTTTGGAAAATGTCTCCAAATCGGCGATTTTGTAGATATTCCAAAAATATCTACAAATATATTTTTGGTCTGCCTTCCCTCGTCATTTTCTGGAAACCCTAAACCCCCCTTGTGG